GCAGAAGCCCAAATACAATATGACGCTATCACGTCTAACTGGGATGCAATGTTGAAGATCAAAGACCCTTTAGACATCGACGTTGAGATTAGTGAGCAGAGAAAGAAATGCGACGCCCTATTAGAACAGAAGAATAAACTAATCGAAGATTTAAAACTGGAATTGAAACGAACAGATGACGCTTATTACGAAGATTTGGATAAACAAGTAAGACTAACCGAAACTTTTCACCACGTAAAACAAGTGTACAAAAACATATCTTCATCTCTTTCGTTCTCCTTGCAAAAACTGATTTTGTACGTCCATAATTGGTAACTTATAATAGCAATACTCCAGGTAAATTGAACTGCAAACAACAATAACAACATTTAACAGTAAAAAACGCGTTATTACGACTTGCGAAATATTGAGGTATTCTAATTTAAAGTCTTTGGACTTTTTTATAGGATAAAGAAATAAAAGAATTGTCTGACCGAATCGAGAAGCAAGTGACGATAATGCAAAGGGCATACGAGAAGCAATTATCTTTGATTGAGCAAGCCATAAACATGGAACGCGATGCGATGGTGGAACACAACAATAAACGATGGGAGGCGCTCTACAAGCAGAGGGACAAGGAAGAACTTGTACACATGGACTATAAATATGAACAGGTATAGATATGAGTCATACATTTTATGCTCTACATTTAAATTGAAATCATTATTTAGCAAAAAAAATATTTTTGTTGTTCTATTATGAACTTTCTCTAAGCAGATCTGGCGAATAAAATCTTTCATTCATAATGCGACTACGTATTTATTATGAGACTAAAGAAACCGATCTTCAGTCTTCTTGGGACGTAGTTATATTAAAAGGAGTTTTTCCTAATTTTAGTTAGAAGAGCATAAAAAGGAAGTGGAAGCCATTATGTGGGACCACCATACTAAATATCGCGAGGCGAGAATTGAACTTGAAAACTTAATTCAAGAGTTACAAAAAGAACAAGAGAAATTGAAAACAACATGTCTTATAAATACGGAAAAAATCGGGTACAATTACCAGGTATGCATGCACTAGTTCTAGTCTTCGATACTATATCCAACAATATTTATCCCCCAAACTCGTAAGTCAAAAATTGATATTTAGCTGTTTAATTTAATTCTCTAAATTATAGGTGTTGAAGAAAAGAGAAGAAGAAAACGTATTCGTTCGTTCGCAACAGAAACGTAAATTGAACAAGATGTCTGATGTTGCGAACAGTTTGCGCTCCAAAATACGAAAAGCGGCAGAAGATGGCGCTATAGAGGAGATGAAAGCTGACGCGGAGATTATAAAATTGATGCAAGCGATGGATGATTTGGAGAAGAAATGTAGACATTTTTCCAAAGTGAATAATTACAAGTTTACCCAAGTTTGGCGGATGTCGGAGTCGCAATGTGCGCAGCTCAGCCGCGACATTCGTAATACAGAGGTTGCGCTGCATGCACACATCCTAGCGGAACCCCCGCCCCCGCCGCCTCCTAAATTCCCTAAAAATCCCTTAACTAAATATGGTAAATTATTTTTTATTGTAAACCATGTTCTAATCGAAAGCGGTACATTCGTCCAAGCATTCGTATTTATAATATTAGTATAATGACATAGGTATTGATTATATTTATACATTGTAGAATATGAAGGGCCACCCATAGTTCGGCGTGAGGCAAAAGAAGACAGTGTTAATGCTGTAAACAAAGACGCAAAGGATAAATTGGTAAACATTAATCATTTCTTTGATAATTAATAGGAAAATTGAACATTTTATAATTTTCTTTCCTACACATGGCTCGTGGGAATATTATTTTTTTTTTTGGCAGAATGTGAAAAAGAGTGTCAATTTATTCCTTTGTTAATAATTTGCTAATGTTTCAGATTCAGCATATACTGAAATTGGTATCAGACAACACCGGATTTTTGGTGGAGGATCGATTATTAAAATTAATCGAAAAACATCAGCCTTCTTCTAGAAATTTATGTACACTGGATTCTATATTTATGGTGAATATGACTGACGATAAATGGCCAGTAGACGTCCCTAAGGATTGTTTAAGTCACCAATTAATTATCGGCATTTAACGTCGGTGCGGTATTAAACGACGAATTACTGATTTTTAATGTTTTAATTTTATAAGGCGCTAGAGATTCAAGCCGAAGAGGACATTGAACTGCTCTGTAAGACGTTTTTGAATTATGCCTTTTGTTCGATTTGCGTTGGAATGGAGTTTGGAACGATGTCCGATTCTTTGGAGCAGTTATCTGGTGTTAGCATACCAGTAAAGGTAATTATTTTTATTCTAACCTTAATTTGTAATCTATAGAATTAAGTAATAATAATAACAATTGTGGCATTTAAAGGACGAATCTCATCCAAGTGTGTATAAAGGAAGTCGAGGTATGAATTTTTAATATGGTATGTATGTCGTTTATTATTTTGCTATAAAAGATTCCTCTCTCATTATTTTTATTTATTACATTTGACAAAAATTTGTACAGGATGTTTTTAACAATTGAGGAAAATGGAACTTTTTGTTTGTGTATTCTATAAATAAATCCATGTATAATTTAAGTATATCTATGTCTAGTTGAGAGGTCGTCTACGAAGGTGAGGAGCAGTGTGATTGCTCGGAGTGTGTCTGCGTCTACTTCTCGTTCAATACACGTCGGATTCAAGTATTTTTTTTATACTTTTTTATTATATATAATTTACATTTTTTTAATATATTCAAATACATTTATAATTTTGTCCAATCTTTAGGCTAGTACTTTAGAAACCAGCTAGTGTATGCTTAATATAATATCGATATGGCAATAGTCGAATAGCAGGATTCAAACTCATGACCCCTAGTCGATAGATAGACGATCGGTAGTCCGTACCATTAACTTTAATGATATTGGCATCATTTACATTCTTTTAAAGTACCGAATGCATTTACTTAGTGTATACATTAATGAAAACCGTTCGTGTTGCAGGAGTCATGAGCTGTCACCTGAGGAAAGAGAGCTGATGCAGGAGGCGGATGAGATCATACAAAAGTGTGGTCAACAACAAGGTCGAGTGAACTCTGTAGCTTGTATAGTTCGTCGCAATCAATCTAGCTAGTGTTTCGAGTTGTGAGACCGCATAACCACGAGTTTTTATATCAGATACATGTATACATTGACATATTTTTATCCCTTTCGTTTTCTTTGAAATTATTTTTAATCTGTATTTAAATGAGAACGAGTTTATAAAAAAGTTTCTAACGTTTTTTTGCTAGATCGATACGTACATCGTACATACTTCCTAATAACAATACATCGTATTGTTATTAACGATACATATAATAACGATACATCGTACAATAGATGTGTTATCACATGATATTAGGAAGTTCGACTGCAACTGGCATCACTTCCGAGACGGGCGCGTCTGCGCCAGGCCGGCGCGCGGGCCGTGGAGTCACCGTCTCCTCCTTCCAGACCCTCGCCATGGACAAAGACCATCCATTCCTCTGCCCAGGTATAACAAACAAAAAACTCACACCAAGAAAAGTTTAAGCAAAGCTGTAGCACTATTAAATCAATTAGACCAAACCGTCACGAGTTAAAAAACTAAATTACATTGTACACAAATATTATATTTATTTTGATTTAAATTAATTTTCAGTGGGACATTTACTGGAAATTGAGCCTATGCAAGTTCTAACTGCCCTCAACGAATTCATGTCTGTATTCGTTCCGCCCGACAGGAAGATATTGAACGACATTTTGTAAGTTTAATGAAATAGCTAATTCTAATAAGATTACGAAAAGTTCAGTTCTTGTCATGTTCCGTAATATTAATATACTGCTGTCCGAAATAATTGCTTAGTAATAAAATATCGTCACATTAATTTTATATTTTAGAGATAGTGTCAAACCTCCTGATTTCACGACACCGTCTCGAAGATTGACGCCTGATGAAATCGAACAGTATTGGAGTCAATGTAAAAATGTATTTTCACCTGAAAAAGATCGTTTTTGGGAGGGCCTGTTGGCTGGACTAAACAGTTATCTGCCCATATTACAAGGTAAGTAGTAACTTTATGATTAAGATAAAGAACTTTAAGATGTGCTTCCGAGGAAACGGGCAGTTTTTTTTATTTATAATGTTCTTTTGCTTACCTGCGATGTTATATTTTTACCTATGACGTTTACGTTTCTTTTTTTCAGAACGCGAACGCTTGCACGAAGAAGTAGTGGAGTTGAGGGATCGTAATGTGGCGCTTCGTCGCTTGGTGCGCGGCGCCCTGCCCGAGCTGCCCGCGCCTCGCCGCCGCAACCTACGACGTGTCTTCACTGCTACCATGCCTGATTTAGCGCCACCACCAGCATTCCCTTCAATATCATGAATTATTTACATAAAAATTGGAGTCAAAATAAATGAAGTTATGAAACCTAGTGGATTTTCTGATCATATAGCTTACACCAATATGAAATGAACGCAAACATAAAATGCGAAAAAATACTTTACTAATATTGATCGATTTGTTTAACTCAACAAAATGCAACAAAAAAGTAAACATCGATATTCATTATTTAATTAAATAGCAACATTAAAATAAAATCAACTTGTCATGTCATTCTGTGCCAATTTGTCATTGTCAAATGTCACAACTCAAAAGTAGGTTTGAATTTCGTTTGGCTTGGCTTGTGTTGTAAATTTTAAGAGAATTTTATTAAAATTAATATTTTTTTATTTAGAGTAAATAACAGAAATATAACGCATGTGTCTACTTCGCATGTGCGTTTTAAACTACATTCCGTACTAGCTTTTGTTATATCTAAATTTTTACAAGAGATTTCAATTGTTTAAGTCTGCATAATTGAAAGTAGCCCATTATAACTGTACAAAATGATAAGATTAATCTTCCATATCGTTGGTGCGATACAATTTTTCTATGGGTGCTATTATGACCATACATATGTGAAAATTCCGAGTACTTCTACTAACGTAACACCGTTTGCTGGAAAATTGAAATATTTAACATTTCTAAATGCAGTAAGTAATTTTGCTAAAGCAAAATGTTATAAAACATTAATATAGTTTAATAATGGTGAGTTACAGATTAAGATGCATGTTCAAATATTATTTCAGATGTTACAAACTGTGTACTTCACCATTGCAGTATCCAATGATATATTTGGAACAAATGAGCCGGCGCCGTCGCACAAACCTCTGTTGAGGCGAATCAAGGATACCATGTTTAGTACCTTAGCATTTCCTATGGCTTTGTTTGTTGGTGTAACATTTTGGGGGATATATGCTGTGAATAGAGAATTGATTCTCCCTAGAGCTTTGGACCCCTTTTTCCCAATTTGGCTAAACCATGTGATGCATTCAAATATTGTATTATTCACTCTTATTGAACTTGCCACATCATTTAGAATGTATCCAAGTAAGAAGAAGGGTTTGACAATACTATGCACATTTATGTTGTCCTACGCAGTTTGGGTTCACTATATTTATTTCAGAACCGGTAGCTGGGTATATCCTATACTTAATGCACTAAATTGGCCACTAAGAATTGCTTTCTATGTGTTCAGTTTAATCTTTATATGTGGTTTTTATTCTTTAGGCGAGAATTTAAATAAACTTGTGTGGTCTAAAGAAGTAGAATCCACTGTTAAATCTGGAAAGAAGAAAGCTAAATAATGATGCTTACTATTCCATATATTTATTTTAACTTATTATAAAGGTGCATATACTGCTGCTCAACACAATTAAATAAAATCTTATGTTACTCAAATAGAAATCTAAGAAAATGACTCCATAAGCAATAATAGTCATAAAAATATGAAAAGATTCAAATAATGATATTATACTTCTGTAAGTAATCATATTCAATATATTGATATTATTAGGCACTAGACTAAAAAAGTCTGTTGAAACATTTCACACGTTAGTTGTGCATAATTTTTAAAAGCTACAATTTAATATAATCTAATGGGTCTGAAAATATAGCTTTGATGCTGGTCGCAAAATATATTGTTCTGGTTTATACCTTAAATACTTAATTATGAATTTTAGGAAATATAATCAAAGTGAATAATTATAAATAAGACAAAAAAAAATGAAAATATTACAGTCAACATGATTAAGCATTTTTTTTTAATATTTCTGATATGAAAGAATATGTTTATCAAGTAATTGCTATTATTGATAAACAATATGTACATAATTCTGTAAAAAGTTGACTTAATATGACGATTTTTTTAAGAATTATGGTTTTGTAACTATGTTAGTAGCAATTACTTGTTTATGTAAGTAGCTTCATTATTGAGATTGCAACACATCTCAGTATTAATTGCATTTAATTACCAAATCGAATTTTAAATAGAAAAGTGATGATTATTGGTTTTGTATTAGTGGTTTAATTTTTGTTTTCATTGGCAATAATAGATAATTATTGAGGGGCATTTTGTTCTTTCATAAATACAGCTGATTTTTTGGCTGCCATTTCTAAAAGGTATTGTATTTTCGACTAAGTGCATTATAATTATGATATATTTGTATTCAAAATGGTGTAGTGTGTTAGAATAATGTTGTTTTTAATATTATTATAGAATAAGTTTTTCCAATTTTGTATTTTTTTACTTCTAATTACTATTCTAATGAATACATACAATTTGTCTATTTATCTTAAACTGGCCTTAATAATTACTGTTAATAAGCGGTTAAAGAGTTTGTCAACTAATTTAAAACAATTATATAGATATTTTAAGATGTTTACCATATCTTATGGTATGCCTTATCATATTAAATTTTAATGGATAAATTATGTCCTGTAATAATTAAAATTACCTTTGAACTCGACATTTTCTGCTTTCTAGTGATTTAGGGAACATTTGGATGCACAACGCCACTATTTTATGTTATATGAAGTCATATTTAAGTAGCTTCTCAAAATTCATGTTCTCGTAATTGCCGCGAAATTGTCCACGTGATGTCAGAAATGTGTTTGACAAGACGTGAGTGGGACAACGAAGTAGGTGTGAAAGAGACAAATGTCTGCATGTCTGTCACTTTGGAAAAACTAGATAATTTTTAGCAAAATATTGCCGGTGTCCAGGTGGTGAAATTGTAATTGATAATTGAAGGTGTTCAGGTATTTCGTAATTGTCGGTAGCTTGTTATTGTAGCTATGTTGAAAGCAATAATTTTTTACATTAAAATGCAGTGCAAAACATTGCCTTTTATTTTTTCCCTTGCTATAGCGATAGCGAACGATGTTATGCAATCGCTTCGGAGCGAGTGCATTTTGTCTAATCCCCCAAGTGTCTTATAATTGGTAACATTACTCCAACGAAATAAAAAGTCAAACTTTGAAAGCAACCTACACTTTATTAAAAGAATATGTCATAAACAATATAACCCTAAATAAAATACAAAATGGATCTTTAAGTACGTTGCTTACGCGATACATTTTACAATCACAGTACATAAGGACATTAATTTTCATTGTTTACGGCCAACATTTTTAATGTTAATTTCTTCAGATATATCCAAAATTATGGGTACAATTTTGATAATTATTTCTTTTACAAAATATTGCACATAATACATTAGCCGTATCACACATATTTATTAAAATTCGACTAGATAATAAAATTATAAAGCAATAATGAATAATTACAAAATGCCAATAAACATATTCATAATTAACTTACTTGTATATTTAGTGCTAAGTATGTAGCAGTAGTGAAATTTAACAATCAAACTATGGCTTTGTGAATATGAGAAGCCAGTGTCCAAGGGATAGAGATTTATTTTTGCTTATATAGATCGCTTTTCCTCTAACCTAAATAACCTACTCGGTTAAGTAGGTCTTTCGTCAGGACCGGAAAATGAGTCTCGCTCATAGAGGATTTACGCTTCATAATTACAGTATTTAGTTTTATAATTTGAGTAAAGCTAAACTACCATAACCAGTCATTGTCCCGTCCTGACCGACGACCTTCACAAGCGAGAAAAATGTCGCGATCCATTTGACTCTCGCTATTTCGTGTTTGACTTTATATAATAGTTTCCACAAAACATACAAACAAAAAGATACTGTTATCCCTTATAATCTTTGAATGAAAAGAGATAAAGATTTATGTGCAGGCTTTTTGTTCAGAAGCACACTGTAATTGTTCAAGCAAACTCAAAATCAAGATAAATTGTGATATCACTTTACTGTATGGGTTCCATCGTGTAAATATCGATACAATGACAATGTACTTGTATTTTGTAAGGATTACTGGTATGGTGCAATGATGCGATATAAAATTAATAGTTTTAAGTTGCATGAAAAATTCTGTACCAACAAGAAGAAATTAGTATTTTGTTCTGTAAACAGCACACACATCTTGAATAGTTTCTTATATAAAATTTCATAGATAAATGATTAGATGAACAATAAGTTATGCATTAATTAAATTAGCAGCAAAAATATAAATGAAGCAATTTGATGAAGAATGACAAAGCTTGTACAATATCCTTTTACTTTTACGAAAAAAAAATAACATTCCTTTTATGAAATCTATTGTTCCACCATTCTTAATTTGTTTAGCGTTTTCTATTTTAGTTCAGTTTAAATATTTATTCATTTTAATATTAAATTAATTACTAGAAAACCTTTTAAAATTGTATAATACATTGGAATTTACATTATTGACCAAAGTATCAAGGTTTTTGGTGGACTTGATTTGTTTTATCTTACTAACAACGCCTATTTGAATAATAAGTAAAGGAACACTACAAAAGGATAGAAAACTTTTATTGTTAATTCGAATTTTTAATACTGAATTTGAACATCATTGGCCTTGTTATTTACACAATTTGTGAACAGCCTCTTTACCTTATTTATTATATTAGTTAATTACATCTATATATTATATAAACAACTATGTGTTTGCATTGTCTACGAACTATTTATTTATGGTTATTCTTCGTTTAAAATACTTTTTTTTAACCCTACCATTAAATGCAAATTCCAGATCACAATAACTTCTTTAAGTTGAAACTTTGCTGCATAGCTAGAACTGTTTTATTTGAGCTCAAATTTATATGTTATTATACTTTGATAGATTGTGAAAGAATTACTCTTTTCATCTCTAAAACCCTTAATCCACTAGCACGATTAGCCGCGCGATTGTTATTTCTAATAGGATTTATGAAGCATGTCTATTAGCGTAGTCACTCTCTCTGCTAATCGCTTAGTGGAAAATGGGTCTTAGCCAACCTAATAATATACAGAGTGTGTCATTTTGATATTCTGTGTCATATATTTGTGGAAAATTATATGACCCAGTTTCCGATTGAAGTTTAATTGAACACATTGTTAACGAGCGATGTATAAAAATATTATGCTGTATTTCAAACTCTACAAGGGCTAGTTTAATTATTTACACTGTATTATAGATACAGGATGTACCCTTGACACAATATATTTATCAGTGCGTTTAATTCTATGAAGAATATTGATAACATAATATAGGCACATGATTTGTCATTAACGCATCTTATAATACTTTTAAATCACACTAAATTAGATTTTTTTTTACTTATCAGTTATGGAATGTCTAAATTTGGTCGATTTGAAAATTTTGGAATTGTTTTGTCAAACTTATCTGTATATCTGAGATCATAACTTAAGTTATATATTTTTAACCAATTACATATTGTATTTCTTAATCGTACACTATTTGACTCGCGGTAATCCAATAAACGTATTGAAAACTGTCGAATTGTAAGATTGAGAATTTTCCTGAATTATTTTTCATAAAAAAAAAACATTCAAATCAGACAAAAAATTATTTCGAATCGTGACTCACAACGTATAATGTCAAAAGTTACGGTTGATTTTTAAAATCAAAAAGTCTTTTTAAAATATATCGTTATCTTTGTCATTTGAAAAAAACAGAGATAAAAATATGTTTTAATCGTGGATTTTGGTCTCAGAAATCCACGGTTAGTGATATAAGAAGTACTAAAAAAATCTATGATAATTTTCGCGTAAAAATAAATGTTTATAATTTTATAATTTCTAAATGCATAATTTCTTCTTCTTCGGCTTCGGATGTTCTTTAGTTTGACGGATTACTTATTTTGTCGGACATTAGTCGGATTACCGCGTACGCGCTTTACGCAGTTACAACTTCATTTAATGTATATAAACATATAATATAATTATGTTTTGACCTTACGGGAAGGTTTGACTCCGTTCTTCTTCCATCCGTTGGCGACGACATCACCGTTCGTCGCGCGGCTCGAGAACAATGTCGATTTGGTCTTCGATTCATACAGCACGTCCGATTCCGTCTCCGTTTCTGACATATCTTTGCTTGTAACTGTAAATTAAAAGATATATTTATATAGTAACTTCTTATTTAACCTCACATCATGATATAATTTTTTTACACAGCATGTTTAACGTGTTAAGTGCCACCAACTGGTCTTGCAAGTTTATACGTATATACTAAACACTTTGATAATTGATTTTTGTCACATACTTGTGTTTAGGATCGATTAGAAAAGTTACAAATGCGTTCTCTACATTATATCTGGCAATACAGACCATAAAAATTCATATAAAAAAAATATATGATGGAAATAGGGAAAATATAGTCAGTCGGGTTCAATTAATTTAGTTATGGCATTAACTGACAAGGTTTATCTTCTTCTGCGCGCGGCAGCAGACGGTAGTGGGAGCGGGGGCGTGGCTTGCGCGGCGCACACAGCCGGCGCAGCAGCCGAGCGAGCGCGCCGCACGCCCCGCCCACCGCGCACAGCACACCCACCCCGCCCAGGCTCGCGTACACCACTGACCAATCTGCAATTATATGTAGATTATATTGACAGAGCCGAAAAGCATCTGCGGTTCCTCTGGTATATTCCTGTTTGTTTTACCCTATAGTGATACTAAAACTATAAAATGGTAGTAGTTTTCAAAGCTTTTTCATTTTTGTTACATTACATAGTTCGTCTATTGTTTCCAGCACAAAATAATGAAAATAAAAAACCTTTATGTAATGCTAGCTGTGGCCGCGACTTCGTCCGCGTCAAATACTGTCTTTGGGTAGCATTTTAATTATTTAGGTAACTTATTTTACTAACACTTATAGTACAATAATGACAAAACATATTAAGTTCAGAAAACATTCGCATAAACCTCACATATTCTAATAAAAACTTTCATCCCCTATTCCCTATTGTTATTTTTGCGTTAAAAAGTAGCCTACGTCCTTTCCCAGGCTCTAGACTATCTGTATACCAAAATTTGATTGAAATCAGTGCAGTAGTTTTTTCCGTGAAAGAAGAACAGACAGACAGAGTTTCTGGCGCATTTATAACATTAGTAATGATATAATGGTTAAGTCACCGCAGTCGGGCATCGCATCAGGGTCGAGCTGTGTGAAGAGGCTCTGCATCCAGAAGGCGTCGCAGCGGCAGGTGCGAGTGGCGCGGTCGCACACGCCGCGGCCCGAGCACGTGCTCAGACAGCGCAGCGAGCGCACGCGCGCCACGCCCGCGCTGGCCCCCACCCCGCTGCCCCGCAGCAGCCCCAGAGCGCGGATACCCTCCACTGCCACCTCCTACCCGCACACATATACAATACAGATTTGTGTTTGATAGCTTAGGAATTGCTTCATTTTTAAATAAAATATACAGCCATTTTCAAATACAAATGGGGCCTTAGTATAGATGTAACGGAATAAAAATCGCAATGGAATACAAAAGTCGAATGTAATATGTTTGATTTGACAAATTTTTTAAGATAATAACTGTTAACAATCTGATAAATTTGAGCAAAGGAAAGTAGATTTTCACACAGTTGGAGGTTAAGTTTATTATTACAAGGAAAATACATACCTTTTCCGATAAAAAGAATATAATTTGCGTATTTCCAGAGTCGACTTCTCCTCGTATTTCGGTGACATTAACTTTGATATCATCTTTAAGAAGTAAGGTGATCTTCTGCACGAGACCATCGAGTTGACTCTTGGTGAAGGCAGACACGGGCGTGTGTAGCGTCATCTCAAGTAGATTCATCTCCAAGGGGTCGGGTTTGACTTGTACGCTAACCGCGTCCCTGTCAGACTCCCCTTGGTCGTCTGTCACTGTTAGCTCAAACACGTATCTACCAGATTCAATGTTTGTTAACTGTAAACATTTCAATAAGTGAATAGTGTATTTAGACAAGA